ATTGCATTTCACCTCATCGGTCAAACACATGCTATTACACAGCATCCAGAGCAATTAAAGGGATCGGACAAAGGAAATCTCTCAGGTTAGATCCCAAGCCGGCAATCTACCACCCACAGGCCAAATCGGGCCCTCCATTTCTGTATGGCCCACAGCCAAAAACAGTCATTGTATTTTTAAATGGCTGGAAAAAAATCAAAACAGTAATAGTATTTCATGACATGTAAAAATTGTATGAAATATAAATTTCAATGCTATAAATAAGCTGTCTTGGACGACTGCTCTACACCAGTTCATTTACATACCACCTTCACCTTGGCTGCTTTCCCTATAGTGGCAGAGTTGAGTTGCTTGTGACAGAAGCTGTATGGTTGCCTGTGCCACTTACGGAAAAAGGTTGCCAGCCCTGGGCTAGACCACAGATCATTTCTGGCTCAGAGTCCACTTTCTTAGTGAGGTCTTTCCAGAAAACCTGATCTTACACTTTTACCAGCACCCCAGAACTCCCAACTCCCCTTCAAGGCTCCATTTCCCATCAGAGCACTTAATGTCTGACATATTGTGTGTTTTATGTATCTGCTTGTCCACCTCCCCTACCAGAATACAATCCACAAGGGCTGGGAGTTGTGTACTGCTGTGTCCATGGCTGTATTCCCAGGGCCCAGAATGGTGTCTGGCACAGCAGTGGCCAGTGAATAATATTCAGAATAGACAGCGTTTCACAGGTGGAAAGGCTGGTGTGGCAGGAAGGCTTGGGCCCTGACACCCACATCACTGAGGAGGCGCTGCCTTAAGGCCCCCCCTCCACGGAGAGCCCTCTAACCACCTTGGCTTAAGTGTACTTGATTTCGGGCTCATCATTTCCTCCACAGTGTCGGTTCTGTGAGCACAGGACTGGCACACAGGAGGCCCTCAGTGAGAATTAACTGAGTAGGTGACTAAAGAATTACCACTCCAGCAGTGAACAGCAAAGACTCAGGTGATGTTCAACAGACCACACTGAGCTGGTAACTTAATTTAGGAACAAATATACCTGAGGGTTACCCAAACAAGAATGTAGGTCAAAGCCAGGATTCTCAATTAATGCTAAAGCTGTGTGGATTTAAAAAGCAGTGTGCCTAGGACACGACATGGAACTGTAAACAGCCTAAATATTTCCAAAGAGTTTCTAGGTCCTGAATGTGCAAAAAGGCTTCATTTTTAACATTGACAGTGCTACTGAAGAATAAAGTTATGTGTGATTATGTCAGTTAATTTTAGAAATTGTTGAATGTGTAACATAGTGTTTTGTTTGGCCCAAATGCTTTTATTAAGTTATTGATATATTTGCAAATGGACGGCAATCCAGAATTAGGCAAATGTGTTAGTATCTCTCGGCTCTGCTTACATCGTCACCATAAGACTGCTTCGCCCTCAAACACTGCCCCAAACAGCCCCAGGAGCTCTCAGGAGGCACCTTAGATGGGCTCCAAGCAGCTGTTTGGCCACTGCATTGGTAAGTATTCTGCTCTGAATAGGCCATCCCCCAAATTCATATGTTGAATCTAAAGGTGATTGTATTACAAGGTGGGGTCCTGTGGGAGGTGATCAGGTTCGGAGGGAAGAGCCCTCATGAATGGGACTAGTGTCCTTATAAAAGAGACCAAGAGCACCTGCCCCTCCACCACATGAGGACACAGTGAGAAGTCCAAAGTCCTCATGGGGACTCTCGCCAGACCCCGACCAGGCTGGCTCCACTCTGGGGCTCCCAGCCTCCAAAACTATGAGAAATAAATTTGTTCATAAGCCCCCTAGGCTGTGGTGTTTGTTACGGCAGCCTGCAAGGACTAAGACCATAAACCTCTCTTTTCAACTACAAATGCCTGCAAGACAGACCCAAGTCTGTTGAGGACCCTGATGCCTGCACCCAAGCCCCAGTGACCCACCCACAAGTGACTGGCTGGCGCTACTGAATCAGCTGGTCTGGCCTGAATACCCTGTATCCAACGGGGTCCTAGTGTGCATGCTCATAGCTCTCTCACTGGCAGCCGCCTGGCTCCCAGACCTAGGGCTCGGATCAGAGGCCAGGCCAAGTTCACTGGGCTTGACGTAGGCTTACCCCTACTCTGTGGTACTTTCAAGCAAACCTGTGTGCCTCTGCTCTCATTTGTTGTAGAATTAGTTCTTCCCAGAAGGCTGCCAGTGAAGTTATGTGCCTAGGCAGCCCTGCCAGATCCCTTCCATGGGCTTCCAGGCATGTCCAGTCACGTGTGAGTTCCAGGGTGTACGTGGCCGATGCCACACCCTCGGGCCTGGAGAGTCACCAGTCACTACAAAGACACAATAAACTTGAATGGATAGGGTGTTTTTTAAATTGAGATTCAATATAAGCAATTGTGAGAAAGCAAGTTTCTCTAAGGAAAAACAAGGATGGAAGACAAGGAAAAGTTGGGAGGGCATGTGTTTTGGAGTCAGACCTTCCTGGTTTAATCCTGGCCTGTTGGCTGAGAAGCCCTGAAGAAATTACTGAGCTTCTCCCCTGGCCTTGGTTTTCAAGTCTGTGAAACAGACCCAATGTCTCTTCCCACAGGTTCACTGGGAGGACAGCTAGTAAGAAGACAGCTAAGCAATATGAGGCTCTGGCTCAACTGCCCCATGCTAGGGCCTTTGATCCTGCTGTCCCTCTGTCCTTGGAATGCTGGGTGTGAGAGCCGGGCAGCCTGTCATCCCTGAGGAAACCATCAGCCAAGAGAACCCCAGACACAGGCCCTGAGCAAACCAGCCCCCACACCCACCAGCAGAGCCCCAAACACTTCTACTATCTGAAGGAGGTTCTCTCTCTTAGCTGAACGCATTCCTTACTGAAACATCTCGTTGGGGAGGAGGGCAAGGCTGTAGAAAAAACCCCAAAAGCCATCTGCCGTCACCTCACCATTCCAACCTGAGATTACACACGCGTGTGTCTGGCATCTGCTGCCATCCATCTTCCTAGAAAGCAAATGCTGGGTCACCAAGCCAAAGACGGTAATGCACAGGCTTCTTGCAAGAGATTGAAACTGGAGTTTTAGGGAATCAGAGCGTCAGAGAGATGTTCTACGAAGTCCAGGAAAGTTTTTGGAAGAACCATTATTATATGTTGTAAATTAAAGCATTAAAATTTTAATGATGGAAATACTGTGCCTCTACATCATGTATCATTACTACAGTCCCTGATTCTTAGTAGGTACTCGGGTTTGTTTGCATTAAACAAATAAGCATTATTGAGTTTGAACGAATACTTTTAACATAGTTGTTTTTTGAATCAGTCAAAACTTTTGGCCCTCTTTTTAACCAGCTTATGTTGGGTTCTTTTTTCAGCGTTTCTAATGTAATTTTTTCCCATTAAAATTTTTTTATTAAAAAAAAACCCATAATTTCATCTTACTGAAGTACTTATTTTTCTTTTTACCTTCAAAGGATTCAACATTTAGAAATATACTTCATATAGCTAACAACATAAGGGGTAGGATGTCTCAACTGTAGACAAGTATTTTCTGTTTTTATGATCTTCATAGTTATCTTATTGCATAAATTCTCTCAAGTACTTACTCTCAAGTTTAGAACTGAGAGTTTAGAATTACCCTGCCATTGGAAAATTAGATATGTTCTAGAGATTTTTTTCTTTTACACAAAAACTGTTCCAACCCTGCTTTTTCATGATGACAAATGGGATCAACAGTAAGCTACTTCTTAACAGACATTACAACACACACAGATTTTTCTCTCTCACTGACACACACACACACACTCTCTCACTATCCTTTCTTGATTTGTGCATTCAAGGTAAATATGATCCTTTATCAAATAGTTATTTTACAAAGTAGATTTTAGGCAATGTTTGATACCGTTTTGTTGCTGAAAAAAATATTTATCATCTATAAAAACTGTCACGATGAAGACCTAGAAATCTATCTTACAAAAGGCAAATTACAGATTTCAACGTTTTTCAACTGGTTTTGGGGAACAACAGACATCAGGGAGATAGTACGATTTTAACTATCAAAATTGTAACAACTTTGACATACTGATGGCTGGAATTAGAAAAGTGAGCACCACTGCTCTTTAATTGTGACAATGCCCAGCCTCCATGTGCACCCACATTATTTTGGGGTGTTACCTTTTCAACTTTTAAAAAGGAAACCTTCAAACGGCAGTATTGATCATCAGCTCATTGTTCTAAGAAAAACTGTGATGAGAGAAAAAGGAATTTTTTATTACTGAAAAAAATTAATAATATTGTTTCAACTCTATCCCATCATAATTACTATTTTGTGGACACTGTATGATGCACATATTTTATTAGCATAGTAATATGTACACAGAATTTATGCATATTTTGGGGATATATTTCTAAGATTTTTTCAATTAATTGGAGTATAGACTGCTGCACTAGAGAATGGTTGGGAACCAAAAGAAATAAGGGTGTGCAAACACACCATACTATGTATTACATTCCTTTAAGTCTAGACAACTTCCAAGCCAGAAGGCACATCTCTGTTCCAAACATTTGAAAAATATATTCTATTATTCTAATTTTTCAGTTCTTTTTTTCTTATGCTAGAATTTAAAAATCAGCTTACAAATTGCTATCTTGAAATACCAGCAAAAATTGAGGGTAAAAAATTCCACCATTATATTCTAAAAGTATGTCTTAAATCTTGATATTCTTTGCCTGGAAGCATTCCAGCATACCTACGAATGGGAAAATTACCTCACTGATAAAGAAATCCTTTAAAACAAACCAGTTTTACTGTAAGTATAGAGGTACACTATATAGCTACTGTATTTTCTACGGGCTAACATAAATGAGACATGGCAGGCAATCTAGGGTCAGAAAAGAGGAATATTAGCAGATACTAATGCACGTGAATCGGGGAAAACAAAGGCCTCACATCTTGCAATATCTTCCATCATCTGTTTTTCTTCCTACTAGTACTTGTGCCCTTGAAGACACTACATACTTATGTGACTTCAACTCTCACCTTTGGAAGATGATACATCTAAAATCTGCATTTCAAAAATGGCCACTTTCACAAGGACATCCAACCCCACAGATGCAAGCCTTTCTGCAAACTGTGTGGCAATGTTCTGCCACCGACTCAAACTCAACTCAAACAAAACAGCAAAACAGCCTGGTCGCAAAGTCCTCCCATTGACCCACCTCCTGCTCCTATTAACACACACCACTAGGTGGACAGCTCAGCATGATCTCAGAACTGCCTCTATCTAAGTCTAAAACCTCACATTTGCAAAAACAAGCACTTCCCTGCAGGAGGAGGGAGCCTCCCCAGTGCTCGGGCGGCTGCACCAAAGCAGGGACAGTGGGAAGGGGCTGGGGAGGCGGGTCTGGCCGCCGCAGGCTTGGCTCTGAGGCCTCTGAGGGGCCCTGGTCCATCTGGGACTTGTCTCAGGATGGTTAGAACAGGTAACAATGTCAAGGGCAGCAGACTGCTCCTCACGCGGGCCACTAAGCTTGGCTCGTGCCTGGACAGTCGGAAAAGGATGGATCTGTACCACCTCAGAGACATTACTTCCCCTAAAGCCTCAGTTTCTTGCTCCATGAAATACAGATCATTATTCAGCCCAGAGGGTGGAGAGAATTAAAGGACATGGTGCTCAGAGTCCTACACGGCCCACAGAAAGAACACAACATACATCATCCACAAACCTCATCATCTATTCCACTTCAGCAAGTGAAATCTGCTAGTCACTGGGGATACCTGGGCCCAGCACAACTCAACAGCCACCTGACTTCTCTCTCCATTCATTCACTATTTCACCACTTTGTTCATTCTGCAAGGATATTTTCAGGGCCTGATAGGCAAGTGAGGAAGCACAGGGGGTACACAGCTGCTCTGCCTTACTTGAGCTCAGCCCCAAGAGAGCTGTGAGCCACAGGGGCTGATGCTGAATCACTGGCAGAGTCTGACCTCTAAAGCTTGACGATCCACTCTCCAGGAACATACAATTTAATAAGAAGGGGTCACTCTCAATGTAAACATAAGGCTGTCACACCCACCCAGCCTCATGCTGACACAGCCCTGCTCCCGCCCCGCGCCACAGCAGGCACACTGACAGGGCAGACCCTTGCACAGAGGCCTGTCATTAGCAGAATGGAGTTCAACTGTCCATCTAGACTCGCCAAGCCCAGGAACAAACAGGCGCTATTCGTTGTTGTCTGCTCACAAAGGAAACTTTTTGACTTTCTCTTCTCTGTTGACACAGAGGAACTGAGGAAAGGATGCAAAAGTGAAAACCAGAAGGTGGGACAAGAACCAGAGATGTCAGCCAAGCAAAGGGAATCACCAGATGTCCCCAGGGCTGCCCCAGGACTTAAAGTCAGTGCTGGCATATTTGTAAACTGACAACGAACATCAATAGAAACACCTTTCTATTTTGACTTACACTCTCTCAGTTGTCTCTGTCTTGGAATTTCATATCAACATCAGGAAGTTATTATGTAATTAAACCTAATCACTTCATTTAGCTCCCTAACTGAAACTCAGGCAGGTGTCAGAGTTCATGGTCTACTTTTCTTGAGTTTAAAGAAACATTTCAGAACTGATCAAAGAGCAGTTACTTCTGCCCTGCTCCTGGGAGTTTGGTGGTGGAAATTATCTGAGAAGGTGGTGGATGGCGTCAGCCTGGGCCTCTCAGCCTCGGCACTGCTGACACTTGGGCTGGTCTCTCTGGCTGTGGGCATCCCACGCATCATAGGCTGTCCAGTGAAAGATTCTTCCCATGAACGTCCCATGGTTTCCATCCACCACCAACAAAAACGCTGCCTGGACGTCTTTTCTGCCGAGGAACCAGTATTTTCAGATTGGCTTACTCAACCCCCTTCACAGTCCAGATCCTATGTTACTGAAACAATATGTGCTTCTAACTCTTGGTATTATTTTAAAAGAAATATATGGCAGACAAGACTAGAACGAAATAAAATTTTTTAAAAAGCGAATCTATAAAATTTGCCACCTCCAGTTTAGTGACTTTATTTTTCAAAACCAAGCTTGAATGTTAATGTCAACATTCAGTATGTACCCTCGACTGTAGTACCTGTATCAGGGGGACATCTGGTCCAGAGATCATACCTGGGGCAGCTCTGAGCAGCTCTGGTGCAGGCCGGACGTGCAGAAATCAACAGGCCTTCACTTACACAGCTCCTCTCCACTAAAGCCATCTGCACAACATCCAGGTCCATTCACACTCCCAGCTCAGCCACAAGCCCACACTGCTTGGCTACACCAGACCAGCGGTTCTCAGCTGCGAGCAGCTCTGCCCCCAGGGACATGTGTCAGGGTCTGGAGACATTTCTGGTTGTCACAACTGGGAGGTGCTACTGGCATCTGGTGGGCAGAGGTCAGGGACACCGCTGAACAGCCTGTGATGCGCAGGAGAGCCCACAGCCAGAAGGACCAGCCACAGTGGCAACAGTGCCACGGCTGAGAGGCCCAGGCTTACACCAAAAACCACGTTCCCAAGTCACCTCCACCACCAAACTCCCATTATACCCACAGGCAACATAAAGCCTGGCACCGTATGGCAACAGTGACGTGTATCTTGTGCCTGTCCCCAGCTCAACTGTTAAGTACCTATGGAGAATGCGGACATGTGGGCCCACATCTGTGTCCCCTGTGGTCCTCAAGAGAGCATCTTCAGGGGAGCTGCTCACTACATACCTGCCAGTAGTCTCCTTTCCCACCTGCTTGGTGCAATGGAAGCAGTTCTAATTAATTTCTCCATTAGCATATGTATTAAACTTTTACTCTGCACTTAGCAAAAAACTTTTATTACTTGGCAATGTGAAGCCGTAATAAGACATTAATGAAAATATGGAATGAAAGACCTGGTTAGTCCGATTTTCTTGGGTTTACATTCCTCGTCAAGACTGCATGTTTACTTCCTTAAAGAAGAAAGGCAGCCAAGCATTAAATAGTAATTAATTTAGGGTGCCCTGTTTTACAAAGCTGTCTGTGAAACTTACACACAACTGCACACATGCTTCCTGCTAACAGAGGGCACTCTGCAGACAAGCTGCTCTAGCTACACCTGCTGTGACAGCCAAAATCCTCTGCAGTGAGGAGGAAGTCCTGCGGGGGACAGTACCTTCCACGCCAAGAACTACAGGACTTCATCCAAGGCCATACCTTTTTCAGCAAGGGGAGAAGCTGCTCTGCGACACAGTGTGTTCTGGAACATGCTGCTCTCACTTCTACATCAGCTAATCCTCAACTGTGTGGAAAGTGACCCTAGGAGATTATCTAGAAACTACTTTTGTCTACATTTAACAACTAATTTGGAGAACAGCGGGTCATCTGCACAATTCCATTTTACAGAGGATCGTACCTCCCTCCTAGGCACAGACGGACGCCTCTAAGAGCAAGTCTGGATGCTCTGACCTGCATCCCATGGGCCTGCCCCTGCCTTGGATTGGCTTCTGTCGGCCTGATCCTCTCTCCTTGGCTGCTGAGCCAGGCCACTGTGCCTGCTGCTGACAATTCTGACTACTTACTTCAGCTGGACACTCAGTCCCGTTTCAGTCCCACACAACTGCCACGGTGAGCTTTCACAGCCCTCTCAAACCTCTACAGGCACATGCCCTTCCCACAGAGGCCCCTCAGTCCTGCAGCCCAGAGGAGTTTAAGTCTTGAAGAGTGCCCCCAAATTCTGGTTTCTCTACCTCAGATTTCTCTGAATCTCCAGTCATGTGGTTCTCCATTACACCTTGACTGAAAAGAGGAAGTGGAGAAATCAACAAGCAAGACCTAGAGACAGAGGACCCAGAGGCCAGCACAAACCCACATCTCACATGGGTCCCAGAATCCTGACAGCTGGGAAGGAGAAGCAATGCCATAATAAAACCATCCAGACCAGCACAGATTATTCATGACACGTTCTGAGGAAGCGGAAAAACACAGGTGTCCCCTGCTTTCTGAAAGTCTACATTATGCTACTGGCTTTCGTGAAAGACCCAACAGTGCCTGGTTTGACCAACTAACAAATCGGAAGATGTTTGCTTTTATGAAAAAGAGAGGAAGAGAGGAAATAAGTGTTCAACCTGCACTGCCCCCAGAGAACTGAGTGGCCCCCAAGCTCTTTCTCGGGCACCAGAGTCACCATCCCAGCATCAGGCCACCAGATATTTGAATGGAGTTGTGGACATCTGGGCTTTACCTCCATTTATGTGGTGTGTCTTTTGAAGATGTGTCTAAGGTATCAGAAAAGCCTATGGAGGTATTTTTAGATTTGGAAATGTTCAAAAATGTTTCTATATAAATCAGTGGTAATGCCTCTTCTCTTTCACCCTATTTCGGCTTACAAAGGTTTCGTAGGCTCACTCTATTTTCGGACAGCAGGGGAGACCACCATTGTGTGCTGCACGGCCTGTATGTTTTCCAAAGCAGAATTCCATTGCACACACACTCCATTCCACTCTCACACTGGCATGGTCACGAACTTTTAATTAGCTTGATATTTTCAATGCAGAAGCTACAAACACAATATTTCTTTTCCATTTATTCAATACATACTACATGCCACATTCTCTAACAGGAACCTTGGTGTAATAACAGGGGAATAAAAAGATGAAGGGAACAGTCCCAGACCTCAGATTCAGATAACAGAGGGCCCACAGTGCCTGGCCCAAGAGCCGCCAGGCCCGAAGCTGTAAGCTCTCGGGAGCCCATGTGTCTCTTCTCAGTTTTCTGAGCATAACACACAGACTTAATCTTGTTAAAGGGTGAAGCTTCCTTTAACGGAAAAGGAATTCAAAGCTGAATCATTAATCACCTCCTCCCTGTTAATTATCTCCTGGAGCCAAGCTTGCTATTAAGATACCACAGTGGGACCAGCTGCAGGGCATCTCCTGTCTTGCTCTCACACTACAGGACATACACGCTGATGGGAGAGGAGCCGCCCATCTAAAGCAAAGGGCAGAGATAAAACTCATCACTTCTTAGACAGGGGAAGAACAGGATGGTGACATCTGTTCTGGTTCACAAGATCCACATGCTAA